CTTCCGACGCTCTGGGATTCCCAAGACTCAGCTCCAAGCAGCCCTGAGCCAGGCTTGGGAGTGGGGTCAGGCAGGGGAGCAGACTTCAGATCTGGAGAGAGACCCAGCCTTGAGCCCTCTGCCTGCTAAGCCCTGCCTGTAGGAGACGCCAGGGGCTGGGCGGCCTCCTCCTTCCTTCCCTCGCTCCCTCCCTCGTTCGTGCCCTGAGCAGAACTGTGCACACAGCCCGGGACGGGCGCTGTGCAGGTCAGTCGTTCCTCCCCCACCTACTTCTAATTGTATTGGCCTCCTGGGGCCAGGGCTCTGAGCCACAGACCAAACCAGGCCTCAGGACCTGCTGAGCTGGGGAGGGAAGGACCTTGACCCGTCTTTATGGCGTTGGAAAGTCTCACTCCAAAAGCCGGGGGAGAGGAACCTGTTTTCTGGATTCAAGTGTACAGAATCCCGCGGTTCTTGGAACCAGCATGGAGGCCCTCCTTCTGGCCCTTGACCTGGCTCTGGACCGCGCAACGTGCAGGGCGGCAGCTGACAGCATGGCTCAGGAGTGGGGCAGCCTGGGCTGGGAGCAGCCCTGCTCCTGGGTCCTCCATCTCCTGTCCTGTAAAATGGGGCAATGACAGCACGTGCCCCAGGGGTCCACAGTAACAAGTAAGGGGCGACACTGGCACAAAGAGACCTGAGTCCACGCGGGCTCATGGTGTGAGGTTCCCAAAGGCCCTGGCTCGGCCATGCACATGTCCCAGGAGGAGAGCAGAGACCTGAAAGGAAAAGAGGCGGGAGGAGGCAAATGTCTGCAGCCTGTTTCTCCCTTTCTGGAGTCAGAAATGGCACAGGTTCGTCCACTCCCCAGACAAGAAGCCAGGCCTGCAACGTCCTGCCCACCTGGCCAGAAGCATGGGCCCATGGCCACCCCTGGGAGCATTCCTCTGGTCTGAAACAGAAAAGCAGCAGCTTCTGAGCCTCCGGCCCCTCCCACTCCATCATTCAGGTGTGCACAGGTGGGCCCAAGTGAGGCCCCCATCGCCCGGCCATTATGACAGACACAGGCTCAGCCCTCTCCCAGTGCATCCGCTGCTGGTTCAGGGCCCCTGACGCGGCTGCTTCTGTCCTCCTTGGAGAAAGGAGTCAGCAGTTCACCTGACACATCTCAGAGGTGGAGTTTGAGTCTCTTTGGAAGGAAGGAGTTAACCAAAACCGCCATCACCCCGGAAGCCCAGCCAGGGTGTCCACCAGGGAGAAGGGATCTCCTCTCACCTCCTGGGCCACCAGAAAGTAACTCCCACCCGCTGACCGTCCAAATGGTCAGAAGTTGGGTGACCAGGTCTCCTGGGTCGAGGAGGAGGGACGTTTCCCAGGATTGGCCAGGAAGGAGAGGCTGCTGGCCGAGGAGTGGGAGGACAGCCAGAGCCAGGCAAGAGGTCACTGAGGATTTATGGCCTCCAAGCCCTAGGCCCTGGACCCAGGAGGGACGGGGACAGGCAGGAGGGCCCAGGACAGTGTCTCTTGTGGGTGAGCGATCAGCCGTCTCCATGTTCAGACACACTTGAGAGAACTGGAGATGTTTACCCTGGCACGGGAAGGCTTGGAAGAACATGGGCTACGTTCACACACCTGCAGGGCAGTCGTGGGGAAAAGAGAGAGGCTTGTTCTATGCAGACGAAGGGGGGAAGTTACCGGAAGGAGGGTCTTCCCATCCAAAAGTGATTCCCCGTGATGCAATAAGATTAACGGTAGACCAGGCTGTCTGGGAGCGCGCTGTGGGGGCCCTGCCCACGGGAGTGCCAGAAGGAGGGGCTCCAGTGTGAGGTTGAATGGGATGAGCCTGGAACCTTCCAGCTGTCCTGTGATGACGCAGAAGCTCCAGGAAAGAGAGGGTGGCAGGCCGCCACTGTGTTCAGCCTCCTGTACGTCTCCTCATTCCCCCCCAGAACAAGTCCTTCGATTACCTAAAAGGTCAGGCATGCTCTCTAGGGTGACAGAGAGAAAGGGGACAGCAGAGGACCGCCCCAGCATGTGCATGGAGCTCCCCTCGCTGTGGGAGACAGAGGCCCTTGGGGAGCAAGTCTACAAGGCAGAATGCAGAGTCCAGCCCCCCAGAGAATCTGCCTCCGGGGCTCAGCCCGGGACCGCCATGTCCACATTTGAAACCTGCACCCAGGACATTCTGCCGCCGGCCCCGGCCACCTGGGGAAGTGTGAGGACGGGAGAGGGGAGGGCAGGCCGGGGAAGACGGTGGTGGAGACCGGTTCAGACGGGCGATGCCCACGAGCCGGAGGGAAGCAGGTGGTTCACAGGGTGGTCGGGGCCCTGCCGGCTGCCTCAGGGCCACTTCCTCGTGGGGCTGATTTGTCCTTTCCCAAAGCACAACTGACTGCTCCCCACGACCCCCCGAGTTGCACCCCGATACACACACACACGCACACACACGTGCACACACTCATACACACACATATGTGCAAACTGGATGAAGGGGAGCTTCCAAGCACTCAAAACAGTAGTTAGATAGTTAGTTAGTTAGTTAGTTTAGTTAGTTAGTTAGATTCTTCTTCCAGGAGTTTCTTGGGGAGACAGGCCTCAAGCCTGTCATGGTGAGGCAGCACCCTTGAGTCAACAACTAGTCCCCAGGAGAAGCTGGTGGCGGGGAGGGGAGGCTGTGATGGCTCACAGCATCCTTTACCATCTTCACCAGTCCCAGACGGGGCCGTGGGGGTGGCGGGTGGTGAGGGGGAGAGACCCAGAGAGACAGGCCAACAGACACAGACACGGAGACCAACCCCCGCCAGCACCCATCTGTGCAGATGCTGTGAGGTGGGGACCACAGGGAGCTCCGGCCCCCGCCAGTGGGGTGGGGTGGGGTCCGTCAGGCTGGTCGGCTTCACTCCCTCCCTGTGACAGAGGAAGGTGGCGAGGCTGCCTCATCGAGTCACGGGACCACTAACCACAGGGTTTGCTTGGTGGGTTTCTTTGGTGGGTTTCCTGCAGTTGGGGTGCAGAGGTGAGAGGTTAGTGCCTGGGGAGGGGCTTCTCCCACGTGGGCCTGCGCTCCTCCCCACCCCCATCAGCCAGCCCAGTGGCCCCCTGGAGCCAGCACAGGGCAGGCCGTGCCCCCTTCCCCCAGCATTCTGAGGGTCTGGCATTCTGAGTGGCTGAGGACAGGCTGGCTAGGACAGAGAGTTCCTCTGCTGCCATGTTGTCCCTCCCTCCCCACCTGCCCGTCTCTCGTCTCCATCCTGCCCAGGCCCTCGGCTCTCTATCTTCTCTTTCAGAATTAGGCCCATTTGGTTAGAGTCCCCCCAAAATGAAGAACTCTCTGAACCGAGGCCACTTAGCTCACAGCCCTGTTCCACATCAGCCTCCAGAGGGGTCAGCTAAGTGGAGCCTCAGCGCATCTAGAAACTTGTCGTTTCTGGGAGGGGCTGCCGTGGGCTCCCGGAGGGGTTTCAGGGCGCCACAGGGTGTGGATGCCCAGACGGACTGAGGCAGGTTCTGCACATCTCGCAGCAAAGCAGCTGCCTCCTGAACCCTCGTTTCCTCCCTGATTTGGAGGCAAGGCAGGGCCCCTGGCCAATTAAAAAGTGTCCGTGGACGTTTGCAGAGCACCTGCACTGTTCACAAAGCACCGTGTTTCTCCAGCCAGAAGTAGCCTGCTCCAGGCTTCCAGGGATAGCCTCCCTCCCTTCCCAGGTCCTCACACTTGGTGACAGGGCACTCAGGAGACCCTCCAGGGAATAGGAGCCATGGTGCCCTGACTTCGGCGGGTCCTTCTGACACTTTGCTTCCATCACCCCTGCTCACCAGGACACACCTGCCCACCAAGATTCACCTGCCCATCCAGACATACCTGCCCACCTGGACACACCTGTTCACCGGGACACCCCTGCGCACTAGGACACACCTGCCTGCCAGGACTCTCCTGACCACCTAGACAGATTTACTCACCTAGACACCCCTGCCCACCAGGGCACCTTGCCCACCAGACATACGTGACCACCTGGATACCCTTCCTACTCCAGGACCTCAGTGTGGTGGTGACCTCAGCGCCCACCCCGCCATCCCCTACCCCTCAGCGCCGGGGCTGGGCTGCCCAGGAAGCTCGCCTAAGGTGCTGCCGGCTTCCACCGTTCTGGATTCAGAGCCCCCAGCAGGCACTGAACAGGGCAGGCGGGAGGATGGGAGGGACTCCACCTACAGCCTCCCCCTCAGGGCCCAGCAGGCCTAAGGGAGTCCCCCTCTCAGCAGGGGACAGCAGTCAGGTGTCCTCATAAACAGCCTGCTCAGAGTGCACACCCTCAGAAGCTCTCAGCTTGTGTGAGTCAGGGGTTCAGAAAACGACAGCAACAACAAAGTAACTAATGCCAGTCAAGAGCCGCGTGGCCTCCGAGGGTGCTAAGAGAGGCTGGGCGTCTGCCTGTTTCTGAGTGTCAAATGGAAACTTTCCACTTTTAAGAAAATTAAATGTTTTTCTTACTTTCAGGGTGATGTGCACGCTGGGGTGAGTGTGCACACACGCATACATGCTCGCACATGCACGCTCATGCGCGCACACTCACACCCAGGCTCGTATGCAGCCACACACCCCAACAACACCTTTACCTTCAAGAAGGTGTTCTCCAGCCCAGCGCCCCAACTCTCCTTAGCAGAGGCTCTATTCTGAGACTCAAGTGGCCTCTGCTTTGTCACACTTGGGGCGGCTCTACTGGGGGACTTTTGCATCTCTGGTGGCACTTTTTACTGCCGGGCCAGGGCAGCGATCTGCTCGGTGAGAAAGGGAAGGGCCATCCTTCCCCCTCTCCACAGGGCTCCAGGAGGCTCCCGGGCGTGGGTGGGCTGGGTGGGCCAGGGCCCCGCAGATGCCCGGCGGGTGGGCTGTTGTCCAGATGCTGAATTGCCTTCCTGCTCTGAGCACAGACAGCTGGGTTTCTCGTTGGGCGAATGCAGAGAGTGCTGACCAGCACACAGGATGTCTCTGACTCTTCTTGGTTTTCTGTCTTGCCGGGCAGATCTCCGAAGACCTGGGCAGTGAGAAGTTCTGTGTGGATGCTAATCAGGCCGGGGCTGGCAGCTGGCTCAAGTACATCCGTGTGGCATGCTCCTGCGATGACCAGAACCTCACCATGTGTCAGATCAACGAGCAGGTAGGTCCAGGGTTTGCACACGGGGGATATCTGCCCTTGGAGTTGTCCTGGGGGCCTTGGCATTGAGACGGATGGGAGTGGGGGTGTCAAGGTGAAGGGTCAGCTGCATCTCTGCCGAGCACTTTGCCAAGCCCGGTCCTGCACTGGGGGCGGCTATTTGACACTTGGCCAACACTGAGTTTCCGGGAGCTCAGTGACACCCCACTAATGCTCCATCGAAGCCTGCGGTCAGCGGCCTCGCCCAAGGCTGACTGGGCTTGAGAGCCAAAAGATGAGGGCTTGCGTGAAAGAAGGGAGCCGGAGCAGGCGGGATCCGAAACTGCAGAGGTCCACATTCCCTACAAACGCCACTCCCACGAGAGAAGTGGAGAACTGGACCTAGCCGCTTGAGAATCGTGTCTAAATGACTCTGTTTGACCAAGCTGTCCGGAAGGGTCAGTGCTGGCTGTCTGGAAGGCTGAAGTGTGGCCCCAGCTGCCCAGAGCCCCCAGGAATCGCTATGGCAGCCCGGGCAGCCTGCAGAGGGTACTGGCCTTGCTTTGGCACAAAATCCTGGCCCTGTGGGCGAGCCGACTGATATTTTTCCTGAGCTATGTGGTCCTGACTTCAGCCCCAGGTCTCACCAGGGCCAAGGATAACCTTTGCTTCTGCTGCCAGACCCCCGGGGGCCAAGGACCTCCTTCGGCACGCCTGAGCCTCGCTCACTACAGCACATCTGTGCCACCCCAGGGATGCAGGCATCACTGGCTCTCGGTCCTCGTGGCAGGCGTCCACACCCATGAGCTGATCAGGATGTGGGATGCCATGCGGAGTTTCCGTCCACCAAGAAGGCAACACGTCCCCAGCACTGGGAGCTCTCAGTCGATGTCTTTAATTACAAGTTTGCAAGTGGACCCCGGAGACTCCTCATGCTCCTGGGCCAGGCTCCTCCGGCCACAATTTCGTTCTGTGTTCCCAGAGCACTGGGTTCCTGGGGAGCCCAACCCTTTCCATCAGAGCACTTTGCTTTTGCCTGTAGTATCTTGAGGTTATGCCTGAGATTTCACTTGCAAAAAGGATTCCATTGCTTTCAAAAATGTTTGCGGAGACCACAAGACAAAGGGTACATTCTCGCGTCGCCTGTGCAAACCATTAACATCGGCTCGAGGCTCTTGACTTTAGAGAAACAGTTTCTCATTAAGAAATGCAGACAGCGCACACCAGGGAGGTCCCTAGGACCCCCATAAGCTGCCGGGCGGCTCTCCACCATCTGCATCCTTCTCGGCCGTGGGGCTCAGCTGGACCAAGCAGTCCTCCCCGGACACCTGCGGGTGCCGGACACGGTGAAGCTCGAGTCTGCCTCTGCTAGCGGGACGTCTGCTGCTGTTAGTTAGAACCCAAAAGTTTGAAAGTAACTTTTATTTCTGATTGCAAAAAATATTGCAGAAAGAAAGCAAAAGGAATGATCGTGAAAATTAGGAGAGAACCTTAAAAGACACTTTCCCTTCTTCCAGATGAGAGTGAAACGTAAGTGAAGGAGAGCCGGATTGCAAGCACAGACAGCCCTGGCAGTGCGCTTTTCTTGTAGAGAGCGTGTGTCCCTGGTTGTGTGTTTGGGAGCCGAGGGGCAGCAGAAGGAATGCCTGGGACCCGGGCCCAGGACTGCTCTTTTGTCAGACACGGAATAGAGTAACAAAAGAGCCAGATTTTTTAGTTAAGAAATAAACGTTTGTTAGACTGTATGAACCAAATTTAAGCAGTAACAGAGATATCTTTATGGGACAAGCTTTTGAAAAAGCAAATGAGACGTAGAGTCTTCTCCAAGAGAAGCCCGTCTTCAAGCATCTTCGTTTCATTACTAATATCTCAGGGAAGCCTTTATCTCAGCTCCACATAGAGCCCAAATGGAATGGTCCGCTTTGCAGCAAACTCTCTTTCCGTCGTCAGGACCAGGGGACAGAAATACTTTCTGCTGAGATGGAATAATAAATTTTTAACTCTCGTTGATTCCATTTCGTTTAACCCACTCCCACCGGCCGACGCTGTCCTGTTGCCAAGCTCCATCCTACAGGCAGAAACGTTGCTGGCTCTATCACTTAAACCCAATGTGCCATCAAAACTGCCTCCAACTCTCCTCGCCTACTGGACGTTTCTCTCCAACACAGCCTCCTGGGGGGATTAATTATCCCCACTTTAGTTCAGAAACTCATGGGGAACTTGAGATGTGCATTTGAGCAAAAGCAACACCGAAATGGCCCAAAAAAGGGAAATTCTTCCACCTGGGGCCTGTCAACCCCTCGACCCTCTGAGGAGACAGGAGCCCTGCGCCCGCAGCGGGTGATTCCTGGTGTTGCAGACCAGCCGAGATTCCAGCCAACATGCCCGCTAAGTCCCCCGTCTGAACATAATCAACTGTGTGGCCGTGGCCTCCGAAACACACAGGAGAGCGTGAGCCACCGAGAGGCGAGAGTGGCTGGCCGGTCGGCACCGGGCCGGGCGGCACCGGGGAAGTCGTCAGACACCCAGCTTCTCCTTCTAAAACCCAACTTTGCAGGGTGGCCCATGTCCCGGTGGTTGAGTTTGCGCACTCCGCTTCAGCGGCCCAGGGTGTCACCGGTTCAGATCCTGGGCAAGGACATGGCACCGCTATCAGGCCATGCTGAGGCCACATCCCACATAGCACAGCCAGAGGGACCTACGACTAGAATATACAACTGCGTACTGGGGGGCTTTGGGGAGAAGAAGAAGAAGAAAAAAGAAGATTGGCAACAGATGTTAGCTCAGGGCCAATCTTTAAAAAAGTCAAATCTCGACTTTGCATTTCAGGTAGCAAAGAAAAGGGAGCAATTGGTGAGACGTATTTTCCTTTGAAAAATAATGCTCATAACTTTAAACTATAATAATAATATGAAAAACTGCTCTTACATACTCAGAGACTCTCAATATTTGTTGCTTGAATGAAGTGACTTTTAGAAATGCTTTTTTGAACGGGATATAAGAGATTTCAAGCTATTTTTTAAACAGTCTCCCAAAAACGGACTTGCTCTCTCTCGTTGGGAAGGCCACCAGCCTCAGCAGAAAGCATTTTCGTTCCCGGTCCTGACCGCTGGAAACGCGGATGCTGCAAAGCCACCGACGCGACTCTACATGGAGCTGGAATAAAAACTTCCCTGAAATATTAATAATACAACAAAGATATCTGAAGACAGGCTTCTCTTTGAAAAGGAAACATTACACGCTATTAATGGGGTTTCTCAGATTTCTATAATCCCAAGAGTTTCTACCAGGATTTCCTGGCACTTATGGACACCCCCACACCCACACGCAAACACACACAAACACACTTAAGGGAACAATTTCCCTTTTTCTCTCTCACCCGCACACACACACCCCTCCTCCCAGCCCAGCACGGGCGCAGAGAGGAGGGGATCCAGATTGAAGATCTGAGACCCATAAAACAGTTTCAAGTTTGCCAGATGGGATTCAGGAGGAAAGTCATTTAAGTCAGAAGAGCACTAATGTTGTCTTGAAGTTCAAGGCACATGACCTTAGCCCCAATTTCCAGAAGACAGAGGGACCGGGCAGGAACAGAGTCGGGGTCCCAGAGAGGGAGTTCCTGAAGCCCCAGCTCCCTCGAGGAGTGAAGGAGGGGCGCTCCAAACAGCCTGGGCTCCCAGATGCTCCTGTGTCTTCGGAGAGACCCACACATCCGTGGGGCTTGGAGGTCAGGGACTGTCATCAACCTCAGCCTGTCACGGCCTTTACGGGTGGCCCGCATGGTGCGTCCAGATGGGCCCTGGGAACAGATGCAACCCGCCCAGCCGTGGGGGCTCTGAGCAGCTGGCGGCTCTCCAGCTCATGTCGTGGGCACTCAGGGAGCCCAGACGCTGGCAGCACAGCACAAGGACGACTCTGTCCGTCTAGCCAGGCCTCGTTCTCCTTGGAGCCAGACTGCTGGCCACGTGCCCCCCTCCCAGCCTCACCCAGCGTGCCCTGGGACAGGCACATGTGCTCTTCTGCAGCAATTTGGGGCAAGAGAAGATGGATGTGATAAAAAGTGAACCCCAGGGCTTGAAAGAATTCAGCAAATGTCCATCAGGTTCCCCGGAGGACCCCAGCGTGCTGCCTCCTAGCCGTGGAAGGGCAGTCACAGAGGCCCTGACGGCCCTCCTTCCTAGGCAGCGGCACCTCCAGTTCCATGTGAACTGGGCTGTCTTTTCCACAGACTGGGTCACCTCCATGGCCATGGGAATGCAGTGCTGCGCTCATGGCCCTGTCTCTGGGTTCTCATCTGCGCTGCAAGACCCCCTCTTGGTGCCCTGTGGCTCTGAGGGTTTCCTGCCCCAGCAGACCTCGCAGAGGGGTGACCAGCCTGTCACTCTGCCCGCTCCTCCAGCACCTGCCTCCACCCTCCTCCCCATGGCTCCAGATCGGGGAGCCCAGGGCAGCAGAGGCCAAGATGGGCCATGAATTTCCTCCTGGCCCCGGCCCCATCCCCTAAAAGGTAACTGGTTTGCTACACGCGTGGCGCCCACAGATGGTCCACAGAGGTAACACAGGCTTTAGGGCGGCCCAGCTACTAGGAGGAAAGCGTCCACTGCAGACAGCTGGGGGGACCCAGTCTTGCTCTGGGGTTTTGGGGGGATGGTCAGATCATGGCCGTAGAGCCTGGGGTGCCTTGATTTACCTTCCCACAGCTCAGCCTGAGCGGAGGGCAGGGAGGAGCCCACGGGACTCAGCTCACTTCGGGTGGCGGCCCCCCGGCCCTCCTTGCCGCCGTCTCCTGCTTTTCCTTTTCGGGAACTCAGACACTCAGATCATGCCGGGGTGGTACTTTCTGCAATTAGGAGTGAATGCGTTGGTTTGAAATGTTTCGGGAGACACAGACTCTGTTCCTGGATTTGTTTGAATGTTGAGAAGGAAAACAAGAGCTTGGGGATAAAGTGCCTGGTAGAGGAAGCGGAGGTGGGAAGAGGCCAGTTCACAGCGCGGCTCTTTCTCTCGGCCCCACGTCCCTCAAT